CAGCAGGAGGTGGCAAGGTCAGGGCAGGGGGCAACTCCCTCTACAAGAGCAGAGAACAAGGACTCAGAGAAGAAAGGATCCCAAAGAAAGGTTTATGGAATCAACCGGAAGGCCACAGCCAGAGTGGAAGGTGTGATCAGAAGCCAGGACCACAGGAGGTTAAAAGGAGACAAGCCTCTGGGGCTGGAAGCAGAGATGGAGCCATAAGGACCAGATACCTCTGCTTCAGGAAGGTGCTTGCCCACAGGCAAATCCCTCTCTGCTTTCCTTCCCTGTCCAGAAAGAATTTCTCCCTCCGACAAGACCCAGAGGAGAGAGTGTTCTTGTTTTGCTGTCCGTCCCACCTGCCTTCTGCATTTGAGAACCTGCACTGACCACAGACCATCCGTCACAATTCCTCCATCAGTTCCCGGGACCAGTGCGGACACAGACTCACTACCTGAGAAATAAGATGGGAGTGGAACGGAGGGCAGTGGCACCTCTCGGTGATGAGCAAGCGTCAGAAACGGGGCTCCTGGAAGGGCCCTAATTCCAGCACCCGAGTCGTCAGCATTGAAGTCCCCACACTCTGAGGATTTGACTCAAATCCAGGGAGCATCGTTTTTTTCTCAACATCCACAGGGGAGGGGGGGAGTGCTCAGAAATGTCTCTCTGCCTCTCTCTCTTCATCAAAGTACAGGTGATTAATGTCCCCAGCAGTGAGGGAAGAGGGTTTTCAGGACAAAAGAATAACAAACAGGTCTCTGGCTCAGGGTGGCAGCCTGATGGATAAACTCAGAAGCAGGACTGGTCAGAGAGGTGGTCCCGGTTCCCAAGGCCGTGCACACATCATGTGCCAGACATGGAGGCCTGTCCCAGGGCAGGGTCTGTTCCCTGAGAGGACTCTGGTGAACCACGTCCAGCCATTCATCATCACAAGGAGACTGGAAGCAAAATGAAGTTTATATCTCCTGGGTGCTTTGTTCCTAGAGTAGCAACAAGAGGCTGCTTTGACTTCCCAGGGGGCTCATTGGGAGCCGGAGAGGTGGGGTGGGAGGCAGTCAGGGTGAAACCATGGACTACCAACCACCGTTTGAGCTCTTGGCATGAGTTTTGGTGGGAGGCTGCCCCCACTGCCTCCCAGTTTTCAGCAGTGAAAGATGCCCCGCAGGTTTAGCACAGCAAGAAGTGTTAACTCAGAGTTCTGCCCACAGGGTTTAAAAGAACAAGTCCTCCAGGCTCAGCACGAAAGATAAGCAGCCCACTCGGCAGGCTGTGGTGAGGAGACACCATCTGCCCTTGGTCAACATGTCGCCCCCATCTCTCACACCATCCAGTTTACACTAAGTCACTTGGTACTCTTTTCCGAGAGGTGCCAACATTGGTCAGTTTCCTGTATTGAGGATGATGCTCCAGTTTGACTCAGAAAACCAAATGTATTAAGAGCCTACACCGAAGTGCCATAAAAACTACGCCCTGGACCCTCACCCAGGATGACAGAATGTGTAAAATTCTTACACTCAAGCTTCACCGACCCCGCCAATCCTCACTATACTCTGTAAATCCCCCCGACCGCCTCAAGCACAAGAGGCGTTGATTTATGGCATGTCAAGGAAGCAAGGGTGAACGTGACTTTAGAGTCAGGAGGGACCGGGGTATGCTGAGATCGAAAGGGACCAGGGAAGCGCGTTAAGAGTATGGAGAGGGGTGAGGCTCCAGGAGCCTGGGGGCGGGCCCCTGCCCGAGGCTCTCACCTGTGGATGTTCATCTCCCGCGGCGGGCGGTGGGCCTTATCATAGGAGACCTTGGCGAAGACGCCGGCCACGATGACGAAGGCGATCACCCCGCAGGTGATGTAGACGGTGAAGTTGGTCTTGTCCTTCTCGGGGTCGTACTTGTTCTCGGGCCCCGGCGACACCACCTTGGTGCTGGGCGTCTGCACCCACACGGGGCTCTGGTAGTTGTTGCACTGGCGCTGGTCCAGCTTCTCATGGCGCTTCTTGCAGCAGAAGCGGTAGTAGCAGGTGCCGCAGCAGTACAGGTAGCCGCTCTCGCTGTTGTTGCACTCGAACTCCTTGTCGTAC